AAAAAAGAACTGATTATACATTTATAAAAAAAAGTGAAAAAACTTGCTTAAGAAGTTTAGTTTTATTCTTAAATTCATTTTTCAAAAGCTATTCTTTATTAACAGATAAACCTGTTTTCAATAGTTTCTCTTTTATCTATTTTTTCGCTTATTAATTTTTTACTTTGCAAAATATCATTTTAGTTGATTTAATGCAAAAAAAAAGACATTCATTTTTACACTTTATTTTTTTGATTATTACTGAAGGTAAAAGCCGTCAGACAGTTACGGGTATATAAGTTCACAGGTATTAGCAGGAAACGTTGAATGAAGACTATTAGTTTCCTAGTTGGATTTTTTTTTGAACTTTAATCTAACTGGTGATTACGTTCAAAAACTTTTACATGTTATTCTGCTACTTTTAATAAAGTAAAAAAACTGTTTCAGGTTAATCAATTTGTACAAATTTTAGATGCTTCGAGGAACGTCTTTCTTTTTTCTTTTCACTGTTTTTTCAACAGAAAAGTGATCAATATTTTAATGGTTTCTCTACTGGTTTTGCTTTAGTTTTAAGGTCAAAACAACCTTTTCTTCTCAATAACCTCTTAAAACTACAGAAAAAGCAAAAAACAAAAAAAAAACATCTCAAGAACTGTTCTTTTTTATTGTTTTTCTTTTTAAAGTTAGTGTAACTGTTGCGAAGACAATTGAAAATGAACTGGAAGTGATTGCTCAAATATGCTAAATAATTTTCGACTTTTTTTTGACAATAAAACTAGCATAAAACAAATGCTTTTTAGATGAGCAATTAATAAGCAGCTAAGTAAAGCAAATAATTTTAATAAAAGATCATTTGAAGGTTAACAATGATGAAAGCAATACTTTTATTACTGCTAACATTAACAGTCTGCAACCAGGCAGTAAAAATTCCAGAAAAATTGGCCAGTAAAACAGTGGTTGAACCGGAAGCGCAATGTACTTTTACTGTTCATAAAGGAGGACCTAATGGACCAGTGATTAGCGGTAATAGCTTAAATTTTAAATAATTTTTAGCATATTTTAGGAAAAAATAAAAAGTAAATAAATGAATTTTTTTAATGCTAATTCAGTTGAAATTTTACTGAAAATAAATCTGTTATTAACAATTTTTACAATTTAATTATCAATTTAGGAACAAATCTGTATTCAGAATTATATTATAAAATTACGTGTGAAAAAGAAAAAGGATACTGTTTACGGGTAAGTAACTGTACAGTAAGCGGCGAAGGTGCTAGTGAGAAGCCGTATCAGGTTATCGACGACAACGGATGTACAACTGAGCCAAGTCTTTTTGAGCATGTTCAGGTTAGACAGCTTTTGGTTCTTCACTAATTTAACCACATTTATTTGAGACCTACTCCAAAATAATTTTTTTATAAACGTTTCTTTGGCAGTCTTTTCTTTTGTCTTTTTTTTTGAATATTCAATCATAATCTAAAGATTTTTTAGATCACAAGAAACATCTCGTGTACTCAATATTAAAAATCAACATTCTGAGCTTTTTGAAAGCATAATAAAACAGATATATCTTTGAGTATAAGAGTGAACATATAAATGTTTACAGTGAAATTATTTCTTGTCTAATTTCTTTCTTAAACTAAAAATCTACCAAAGTGGACTACTAAAAGACAAAAACTAAGAATTTGATATTCTTTACGTTTTAAAATTAAAAATTGTTTAAAGTTATAAAAAAAGTTTATGAAGCAGGATCAAGTACTTTTTGAGTACAATTAAAAATTTGTAGACAAAACATGAGAAAAGTACTGTCTGTAAGCGTTGAGAAGACATTGTTAAGTGTTTAATCTCCGCTGTAACATCTAAGTTTGACCAAATGATAATCAGTAAAGAAAAAAGTTGTTAACGAGTGGTGATAACAAATATATTTTATTTACAACTTTTATTTTTCTAATTTTTTTCTTTTATTTTTTGAATAAAATTATTCTGGATTAATAATAAATTAGATAACAATATTTTCAGCGTATCAAATACCAAAAAATTTGTCGTTTTTTTTTTGTTTTGTTTTTAAATTGTTTTATAAACATATAAGAATGCGTGGTTGTAGTATGAAAACGATTTTACTGCCGGAATTTATAATCCATTACCGGTTCGTTTTCGGGGAACCAGCGGTTCAGTAAACTTCTTTTGTACAACATCGTTGGTGGCGTTAAACCGGAACGGTAAATGTGAAAGACGGTTATGTACGTGGAATGAATACTCAAAGAAAGCAAATACTAAACAATAAAAATTTGACTGTGTAAATCATTTGCTAACCTTAATTGTAGTTTTTATCCAGTTTTTTTTTTTTCTTATTCAACTGTGTTCAACTTGTTTTTTTTTGGCTGTTTACGTAGTGTAATTGTCATTATATCTGTATAAAAGTATAGTTGTTGTTATATTGTTTCACAGTGAAGGAAAAACGAAGAAACTTCTATTTATTGTACCATTAATTTGAGCATTTTTTTACAAATTTCTTTTTGAATATGTTTATATTTTTATTGTATGGAATAAATAAAGTTCAAACAATTACAAAAAACAACTGCTACTTTTTATTTTATTTTATTTTATTTTATTTTTTTTTATTTAA